ACAAACATTTCATGAAATCATTCAAGAAAACTTCCCTCATCTCATCAAGGATGAAAAAAATCCAAACACAAGAGATTCAGAGAACCCCTGCAAGAAAACAAATGAGAAGACCAACTCCCAGACACATAATAATTTGCCTAAACAAAGTAGCTATAAAAGAAAAAATCCTAAAGGCAGCAAGAGAAAAAGGCCAGACTACCTACCAGGGAAGACCAATTAGCATAGCAGCTGATTTGTCCACAGAAACCCTTCAGGCTAGGAGAGCCTGGAGCTCTATCTTCAAAGTTCTAAAATATAAACAATTTCAACCAAGAATAACCTACCCAGCCAAACTAAGCTTCATTAGTGAGGGAGAATTGAAATCTTTTCCAGATATCCAATCCCTAAGAATCTACACTGCCACCAGAACACCTCTACAAGAAACACTTAAGAAAGTACTGAACACAGAAGAAAAAGAAAAAAGAACAACAACATTCTTCACAAGAGTACAGGCAAAAGATTAAAAACACACATGAGCCAACTTCAAAACCCAAAGAAAGACAACAAACAAACAGGAACAATTCTGTAAGAACCTTATGACAGGGATCAACTCTTGCATTTCAATTATTAGCCTAAATGTGAATGGACTAAATGCACCACTGAAAAGACATAGAATGGCAAAATGGATAAAATATCATCAGGCAACAATCTATTGCCCTCAAGAGACTCACCTCACTAGAAAGGACACCCACAGACTCAAAGTAAGAGGATGGGAAACAAACTTTCAGGCGAATGGAATACAAAAGAAAGGAGGAGTAGCGATCTTAATTTCAGACAAAATACCCTTCAAGCTATTAAAAATCAAAACAGATACAGAAGGCCACAACATAATGATAAAAGGCTCAATCCATCAACAAGAAATATCTATCCTAAACATATATGCACCCAACATAGGTGCGCCAACTTTCATAAAGCAACTTCTAGGAAAACTAAAGAAAGATATTGACTCTAACACCATCATAACTGGGGACTTTAATACCCCACTCACAATCCTAGACAGATCATCAGGACAAAAAGTCAGCAAGGAGATCCGGAACCTCAATGTGACTCTGGACCAAATGGACTTAATTGATACCTACAGAGCACTCCATCCAAAGACCACAGAATATACATTCTACTCATCACCGCATGGAACGTATTCTAAGATCAACCATGTAATTGGCCATAA